GTTAGATTAATTATCCTGAAACGTCGGTGCTCGTTGTGAAGGATTCGGGCGCATCTGCGAATTTCATGGTACATAAATAAAGCTGTATCAGTTAGCATGGCGGCCGAGAGGTGTTCATCCATCATTCCGAGTACAAGTATCGCCATCGCTCATCCTTGGAAATAAATCCAGCAACACAGTGATAAATTGCCGTTAATCTAAAATTTGTAACTAAATTGGAATTTAAACTTCCATTGGTTGACATAACAGAGGAAATCAACGTTTCAAACCTACCGCAATCCAAACAATGTTACACAAATATTCAAATCCTAAAATAACGACTTTTCAATCAATCACGTCTCTAATAACAACTTTCTGAAATGACATCTAAAATTATTCATATTCAAGATGTTTTAAGGATCAACTTAATCAAATTTCTATTAATTAAGAAATCTATAATTGAATAGGATGTTGACTTGGTTGATAAAACCATACTGGACTTTACAATCAATCACGTCTGTAATAACAACTTTCTGAAATGACATCTAAAATTATTCATATTCAAGATGTTTTTAGGATCAACTTAATCAAATTTCTATTAATTAAGAAATCTATAATTGAATAGGATGTTGACTTGGTCGATAAAACCATACTGGATAAGGATGATCTTGCGTCCCCCGAAGCGTGGTTATCTTTTCGAGAATAACGTGAATTGTTTACACAGGACGCGCCGTACTTACGTCTGTTACCATAAACACATAAATCCGTCGACAGCCCATCGAACGCCTGCACTTTGTTCCTTCGCATGGAGGAAACCTCTTCGCCACTCCTCAAAGATAACCAATTCAACAGCGAAATGGATGTCCGGAACGGCTATAAACGAAACGCTTTATTTTTTAGATGCGAAACGATTATAATGGCGGGTTTCATTTTTTTTACAGGTTTATTTTAATGCTTTCAATAAAGCATACAGAAAAACCCAACCCACTTCTAAATACATAGGTGTGCTTAAAGAGCGCCTACCATGTTTTGCATTGTAAATAGCAAATCATGACATTCTGCATTTCTCCTCCGGATCATTAGTAGAATGTATTAAGATTACAAAATATTGACAATCCTACGCAAATCGATGCCGCATCGAGATATACCTATATATTTCTTTGTTTAAATTGTGAATCTATACAACAGTGGTTTTGTTTGATGTGGGTTATGATAACGAGATGATAGTTACAAATTATACAGAGTGAAGCAAAAGTCTTAAAATACCTAATTTTCTCGTAAACGTATTATAGAAAATTTGGGATATGCCTATTTTAGAATACGAGAATTCCAGACGCAACATTTGCAATGTTGTTAGATTTACGATTTCCCTGATATTATTACTTTGGATTTTTCAATGCAATACTCTACATATTGTTTACTTAAAATTTGATGTAGTGAGCAAAGTCGTAAATAAAATAAGGAAATGAAAATTATTTTTTGGATTTAAAATTAACTTTAAATCTGTAATGCAGTTCATGTAATGACTGATTTAGGATATTAGCAGCCGTAACTGTAACTGTAAGATATAGCCAACAAATTTCCAACTAATTACTTTCCATCATAACTTTATCTTTACGATGCGATAAACGGGAATCGCGCAAATAATAATATGCACGACTATAATTCATTAAGGTTTGCTTCAAATTATTCAGCGTTCATCGTTGCAAATAATGTGCCGGCTGTAAACATTTCATGATTGACCCACTTCGTACGCCTAAGTTAGGCTATAACCATTAGATGTTAAAAGATGGGTAACTAGAGATTACAACTAAATTTGCTGTAACCATAAGGCGTCTCTAAACAATACTATATTGCTACGATTACTAAATTCGACATACTAAACCGATCATAAATTATAACGTACTAATTTAAACAACTAAATTGCTAAAATACTTAATGCCTAGTTTATTAAGTTATCAAAATGAGCTTCTTTGATAATATATATATGATATTCGACTGTTACATTCCTCCATGATTCTCCAAAAATTAATCGTGATTCACCAATAATTTGTTATCTTAACTCTGCAAAACTTTCAGATTTAGTTTTATAATTTCGACTTTTCAAATAACCCCAACAAAAATAGCCTTAAGGATCGAGACTGGTGAAAGAGGAAGCCATTCAATACTTCCTCATCTACCAATCCATTGACCTGGAAATTCCTCATCTAGATAACGCCGAATATTAACGCCAAAATGAGCTGGAGCTCTTTCTTGTTGAAACAATATTAACTCTTGTAGTCTCTGAGTACGGTTTTTATGTATCCACTGTGAATTTAGATCCTTCCAATACTTTCATTACTCCGACCTACATTTCTACATAATATAAAGATTACATTGTCAGTAAAACATATCTTGTTAACGAAATTTCCGTGGCAATTGATTTTATACCAACCATACAACGAAAACTAAATTTACACTATTTCAAAGTAATGGATTTTAAAAGCGACTTCTTTGACGTAATGGTTACAAGAAATAATAGAAAGTGATTTTACAAATCTTTCTATTAAGTTTTTATCTATCCGAGTTATTTAGGAATGTTTGCTCCTTATTTTGAACAAGGATTTTCTTAAAAATATTCGGCCGATATTTTTCTTTTTCTTTCATCTAATTGTAAGATATGCATTGAATATAGAAATACCATATTTGAAGGGAGTCATTATAACAGCCTATTCTAAACATTCAAAACATTGAAATCTCTAGGAGTAACCTTACACACATTGCATGCTGCGAACTTGAAGTCTCCGTCAAACCATTGAAAGTCTTTCCATCTAACAAAGTACATATCGACTATTGTGGCCTGCAATTGTAATATTTTTTCTATTTCTGGTCTATTGTCTTAACGCAGCATGAATTATGATGTTGTTTTCCTAGTCGTCCATGTGCGCAATTATGCGTTTGGCTGAGCGTCTTGTCAACTAGGTCCACTACAGATATTGCAATAAGTAACGCCGGTTCCGTAAACCTCCTTCGACGAAGTATATCGCTGCTGTGATATCACTACACCGAGAACGTCTGCGAGAGTCCACAAACATGGACGAGATAATGATGCACACAATTCGGTATTTGCAGAAGTTCAATGTGTCAAATTTTGATGAAAGACCTAAAAATCTTTCTGTGCAAAGTTCAAACTCTAAAACCCAAAAAAACGGTATCGAAAATTATTGGTTTCAACAGGATGTTGCAAGTTTTGAAAGCCAACATTGAAGAAAAAATTGCCAATTTGGAGCCAGATGTAGAACAACATTTCAAACTGCTGTAAAACGAGCACTAGTGTGCAACTCAGGAAGGGATTATATTGAACCAATAAACTTTTCGTGGAAACTAGGGCTCCCAATTGGCAGTCAATTCACATTATGACATTACTTTCGCTAAACCGTAGTATTAGTAGATAGTGATGTAGCATTTCTTTCATTTTTTTGTTTTGGGCAAAGATTAGATTGCTAATTTAACAACAAAGACTATAGTTCTTGTGCTGGATTTCGCCAAACTTGTTTCTACAACCAAGCATAATTTTTCTCAACTGAGGTCTGATACAATGTCTTCAACATGTCGTTGTTTACTGTGTTGAAAACTCTATGCGAACAATATTCTTGGCATGCCTCGCTTCTTGTTCGTCGAATGCGATGACTGCAGAATATCCGGAAGTTACAGGTGTTCATGTAATTGGATAGCTCTAGTTCCTTGAGGTGATGATCTAATTTCTAATTGTATCGACCTTTCTAATTTAAAAGTTGTAATGTGTTATTCTTGATTCTTGATTTGAGTATGTTTACTTTTCCTTAAAATCTCTTTCTCGTGTCCGCCAAGGCTTGTTAGTTTTACTCCCAAATAATTTCACACTTTTACAGATTCGATGTGGTCTACCGTAAACTTGTTAGTCATGGTTTTGGTTCTGCGTTGTAGCATGACTTTGGTATTCTCCTTATTAATTCTTAGTCCTACTTGTGTTGCAATTGCTACACTGAATTCATTATTTTGTATGTTTCGTCTACATCTTGCATTGTTTTGCTTATAATGTCGTTAATAATGACGTTAAGTAGTTGCTTTCTCTCGACAGAGTCGTATGCTTGTTTGAAGTGTGTATGTAATATACATATATGTTGTCCACATCTAATCATATTCCCATACACTCAGTAGAATTTGTTAAAAATCTGACCGAATGTTGCTGTTCTCTCATAAATCCGGTTTAACGTTCACCTCTGATCGTTGTCTCATAGATGGAATCGTTGGTTTAGTATATACGTCAGTTTACTAATTCTATTTTGCATCTAAATCTCGTTACCTAATCGCGGTGGCCACTACTAGCTGAACAAATTTATAGGTATGGGAAGAATGGGTGAATTGTGACTTACTTCTTTTAATATAAGTACGAAGGCTTTCACGGCCGCTGTTAATTAAACGAAAACTAGAACTACCAGTAGAACACTAGAACACTATCACTAGAACTAACACTAGACCTAGAAACTTTTGGGTTAAACCGCGCGTTTTTTGAAAAAGTGTTTGAGGTTTCGGATGCCATGTTGCAACTTTCTTCAGAAACAAGTTCGAACTTCTTGGTGATTATTAAATATTCTTTTAAATTGGTAAAAAAAATGTCGGTGTTCTTTTTGAAACTTTTGATACATATAACTCTAGCCAAAGTAAAAACTTCAATAATTTTTTTATACAAAAATAACATGTAAAAATTCGAACTAACTCATATTATCAGAAAAACGGCAAATTTCGAAACAATGCAAATTTTGTACGATTCTGACTGTCACAACCCATTTACTAGTAAATTAGACCTTTCCCGCCTTTTGTTCTACTTCGTATATGCATTATTCACTCAATATTTTTAAATTACATTATTTACTACTGAAATTATTATTATTCACACTTTCAAAATGATTATTTGATTTTATAATGGTAAAACTTTAAAATTTAACAATAATAACAAATTTGTGACATTTTAGTTTTTAAAAAGAAATTTTTGTTTTTAGATATTTACTCCAGAAGGTCAAGCGCACATGGAATTTTGAAGGAACGAACTGGAATTCAAGTTAAAGGTGAGTGTAAAAATAGAGTCCCGCTTACTTAGCTGACTCATTCACACCTCGGATATTTTTAAAATTTCCTCCGCGCGCTTTCCTGCGTTTCTCCGGGTCTTTCTTAAGGGGGCACTCATAGTGTTTACTCAGCGGAGTCTCGCCTCAACTTATCCCAATTCGTAAATTCGAAAACTTCAAAGCTTCCCCGCTCGTAAAAATGTACGGGAGACAACATAAATTGTGAGTTTTCGGTAGTAGTATTAAGTCAAGTTAATTTAGAACGTTACCAGAGAATCGGTTTGGTTTTTTTTATCAGATTTCCGAAGTAATGTCTTAAAATATGATCGCTCCCGGTTTAAGAATTTATATTGCGAGATAATGTCGCCGTAATTATTTTTCTTCCTGCCAGAAATTTCACCCGGACTTGAGGATTTATTAAAAATTCTTAGCAAGAAACGAATTCCCGTGTATTTTATTTTTACGTTTTATTTTAATTTTATTTTTTTCGATACACTTCATGTCTATTTCAGCCCAACCTTTTCCGGTGATTTATTTCAGTCGAATCACTCAAACAAATTCGCTTTCGACTGAATAAAACTCCTTGAACATTTTTACTTCGAAACTCTCGATTGAAAATATCAGGGTACAATTTGCTTATTCGGAGATCAAACAGCGTTTCTCTCTCCCAAACGATTCGATGGTGCGTTCAATGTCTAATGAACCGGCAACTACATGCAGACTGCGGTTTGGTTATTTCCTGAAATTATTTTAAAAATCGATGGTTCAGTTCAATGATCAAAAGCTTGCCAATTATATCACGATATTTTCCATTGAAAATCTTCGATATACTAAAGTTGCTGTACGCTATTTGTGTAATGTAATAATATTGTAATTGAATCAATTACCGTTATGGGTGATTTTAATCTGCCAACCTAATTCACACAGCCAATTTCTATCGTCGCGCCGTTGATTTTCTTAACTTTTATTCATATTGTAACTTCAGTCAATTTTAATAATGTATCGAATCTTAATGTTATATATTATATTTTATGCGCTAACGGTCGAGTTGGGAGCACGCATCCCTGCAATAATCCACTTGTGGATTCTGATTGCCACCATCCACCTCTTGAATTCTTTATATCAGGCATGTCAACCTATTTGAGTAATGGTCTCAATATTCGCTTTCTTTTCAAGAAGGCGAATTCTGAGACTATCAACACTTTCGTAAATAGTACTGATTAACAGACTGTTTTTGCTGGGATAGGCGTAGACAGCATGCTAGTAGCTGCTGATTACAGAACTTATTTAAACTCGATTCAGGCGAGAGTTTTGGAAAATCGCAAGGATATCTGGTTTTTTGTGAATTCCAAAAAGAGTTCTGCATCTGGCATGCCAGCCACTATGTTTTCCACTGATGGGTCAATTGTGAACTCAGGTTCTGATATTTCTTGTGCGTTTGCAGAGTATTTCGCGTGGTTCGGGTGTGTCACCTTGGTTTTCTGCTGACGCGGTTTTTAATGTTTTGACCCATCTTGACCAGTCTTCTGGCCCTGGTTCGTCTTCCTTTTTACAAGAATTTGCTACCGAATTGTCGACACTGTTTCTTCTTTTTTCAAAGTCCGAAGGTACTTTCCCAAGCACGTGGAAAACGGCTTTTATCGTTCCAATATTTAAATCCGGCAATAGACAGTTGGTATCAAATGACCGCCCGATTTCCATTATCTCGGCTATTCCCAAGGTTTCTGAAAAATTGTTCACGATTATTTTAGCCACTCATTTGCTCACTCCCTCATTACTGAACAACATGTCTTCTTGTCTTTGGGATCGGTTGAGTCTAACTTGGTGTCCTATGTTAACTTTATCCATTCTACATTAAATGAGGACTAACACGTTGACGCAATTTACACCGATTATTCTAAAGCCTTCGACAAGATTGACTATAGCATTCTTATACAAAAGTTGTCCTACTTTAACATTCCAGATGGCATTCTTCGCTGGATAATTTCATATCTAGCGAATAGAAGTCAGGCAGTTCATATACCTTGGGCTCACATTATTTTTAATTTACATAAATAACACTTCTTTTTGTATTAAATTCTCCAAAGTACTGCTCTATGTGGATGATAATAAAATATTTACAAGAATTGGCTCAAGTCTTGACTGCCTAAGGGTTCAGGAGGACCTGGGCCGTCTGCATGACTATTATCACGTTAACAAACTTTATCTTAACTAGGGTAGAGAAATCTGTTATGGTCATATTTAGTACTCTTCAACTTTTAAAAATTCGGTATCTTAGTTAAAAATTGGAATACATGCGAGAAAAAAATTATTAGCTCTTGTTGCATTTGTTGTATTTTAAAACACAAAAAATTATTTTCAAAAGTAAATCAATTTCACCATTTATGGCCACCAAAACCGCTGTTATGGCAATAAAAGTTTCCACTTATAACCACCATAATTTGTTTGCGTAGAAATCAAACGCAATTAAGTAAAATTTTTAGATTTTATTTGGCACATAGATACAACAAAAGTTAAGGAGATGAATACATTTATTGTTTTTCAAATACGTCTAATGCGTTCCAATGATTTTTTCCTTTGTTATGGCACATTTGTCATTGTCTAACACTTTGAAATGTGTCTGATCTAAGCTTTTTAGACATTGCTAATATAGGCCGCCGCTAATATAGGATAATTATAATAATGTACAATCTTCCTTTGTTCTTTTATGGCAATAAAGTTTGTTTATTATTATTATTATTGCTCTTCAAACTCATCGTCATCCAACACGCATAAAATTTTTACACTTCTTCTTCCAACGCTCTTAACGGAAGCCAAAACGTAAATACCTTCCTGCAGGTTTGTAACTCGATACACATCAATTGTTTCTTGATTTTCTGTCTCAATATCGTCAACATCGTCTAAGCTGCTCCCGCTTTCATTCCACTCTTCTTCCTTTTCTTCTTCTAAACAGTTTTCCTTTGCCTTCTTTGCCTTCTGCGCTTTCTCTACTTTATTTTTCTACATTTCCCTTTTCTTCTTTGTCTCCATCTTCAGCTCTTCTTGAATTTTCTTCTCTTTCTCTGTGAGTTAAAAATATTCCACCCATTTGTCAGACGTAACAACGCTTGGAGTATATTCTTTCTTCCTTCTTCGTACTGTCGGTTTATGGTGTGGCCAAGGAATGATATCATTGAACACTGAGGCAAGAGACTGTTTAGGCGTGGCAAGTATATTCGACGTTGATGATGTTGATGGATCAACACTTTCAGCTCTGCTGTTGAAATACTCTTAACGCAGGCATTCCATTTTCTATAGCCTTCAACGTCTGGGAGACATTTAATGGAAAGTACTGGAACCGTTTCTGTTTATTTGTCACAGCCATGGTAACAGAGTCTTGTAAATAAAACAAATAAAACAGAGTTGTTCAAAATCCATTAAAGCGTCAAATTTAACAGAATGGCCATAACTGGGTTCAGCTAAAACATGGAAACCATTTGTAAATTGTTTCAATATCGGAAACGTATCTAACACCGTCTGTGTTGTAAGGCTCTGACAGAGCCCTGTACTGCACTTACCTTTCAACTACTGTCCATTAGGATCTTAATGCGCAACGATTTCCTTTGAAATGACCATAAATGGTACAGTGGCTATAAACGATACTCCTACCCTATAACAAATTCCAAAAAATACGTTTACATGGAAACGTTATCCTATTAACTTTAACTACAAATTTAATGGTAAAGCTATTATCTCTACAAACAGAGTTAAAGATTTTGGCATTACACTTGATGCCAAATTGAGATATCACCTTCATATTGAATTCATGGTAAAAAAGGCCCTACGGAACCTGGATTTTGTTATCGAAATAAGTAGAAACTTTACCAATTTTACCAGTATTAAATCCCTTTATATGACATTTGTTAATAGCATCTATATCTCTCATCTTCCCTATTGCGATTACGATAGACGCTGTGTGGTTTCTAACTTTTAGTCCTGCGGTAGCGTTGAGTTGTATCTGATTTGATCTTTCTTTTCAAACTGGTCAATGGCAAGCTAGACGCTCCTGACCTTTTCCCTGTATTGAACTTTAATGTACCATAGCGACTCGGAAAAACATTACATCCCTTTTATGTACATCTCATTCAAACATTCATCAAAACTCGTCTATCATACGAGTTCTTAGTACTTACAATTAAAGCTTCAACCATGTTTCGCATCTCGCTGCGCTCATTTAAAGGGCTCTTATTGCGTAATGTTTAGATGCGAACTCGTATAATTATACAAAAATTTCTCAGTTTTTGTTATTTTTATTAGAAGGATGCTTAGCTGGGGATATTCTCCCTTTCTGCGTCAAAATTGAATAAATAAATAAAGTATTTTGAAACAATTAAGCTAATTGTGTTTTAATTATAAACCTATTTAGATGTAGGTTTATTAAAGATTATCTTGGTTAGAAGAAAAAAAGTTGCGCGTTTTAAATTAACACGCAGTTAGCACAGGTATAACATTGAATATTAACAATTTCATTAAGTCGTATAATTACATTACACGCTGCCTACTCGAGCTACTGTAATTACTCCCAAGTAGCTGCATAAGAAAATACGTTAGTCGTAAATCTACTCGTTTATGATGTCAGCGATACGTTTTACGGTTTTAATAATGTGATGATTTGTTTATTTCTTTTTCGAAACTTACAATTTTCTTGGACTAAGTTTTATATAACTTTACTATAATTAAGGGATGATTCAAAAAGGTAATAACATTGTGTATGTAACACACCTTATTCTGTGTGATAATGACTTCGATGGAATTTTATGCGTGCTTAAAATATATGAAATACATCGTTTGGTTCGTAGTTGATTGCATACTTTGTTACTGTCACGCGATGACAACTTAATCGCTTATTTATATCGGGGCGAGTTTCCATTTCAATTAGATTTGTGTGGTCATGATTGGAAAGAAATTTATGAGAAGCTTGTTCGTTTCAATGGTATAGAAAACCGGATGATATTTTTCAA